TATATATGTGTGTGTGACAAAGGGAAAGGGAGAGAGAGAGTAATGACAAAAACATTTTTGTGAAGCTTCTGTATTTTGTGTAAGAGTAGTAGTGATGGCTGTTTTTTAGTATTTCGCTAGGAGCAAGGGTGTCGTGTGCGTCTATGGCATTTCTTTCTTGTTAATGATCAATCCAATTATAATTGCTGACTAGGGTGCAATTAAGCGAGTTACGTTATTGATATGACTTTTCGCCGATACTGAGCCGACCAGGATATTAACGGGTGCTGTGCCGTAAAGTTAAAAATAAACGCGACAATAACAAAAATAACAGTACGATACGCGATTCGATAAAAACAGCAGCGCCATCATCAAGTGACATCTCTATGTTAATAATGAACTATTACTAATGTTATAACAAAACATATTTTTAGAATTGAGATAATTTTTCGTTATTCGCACATTTCAGCGCACAGCGTTAGAAACAGAGAATAAATAGTAAAATGTTGCCGAATCGACCGGAGAAAACAATTCGTTATTGACAACTGTGACGAAAATAACGATTATTTATAATCTACGTCGAAACTATAAAAAATATTATTATGGTATTACTAGGATATAACACATTTAGATGATCCGGAACCCCTCCGAATGAAGCGTCTCGCAGCGACAGATAGGATGAACGCAGTTGGACACCCGAAGTGTGATGATTGATGATGATCATGATAACGTTTCGTAGATTATAGATGATCTACGAAATGTTTTCATAACGAGCTGCATCCGTCAACAATATATATATATCGTAGGTATATCAAAATAATTGTGAATGGTATATAGGATATTTCTACATATTCGTACCGCAGCATTGATGAATGTATTGTCAAGTAGAAATAAAATTATTTTCGAACAAAAAAAAAAGCACAACAGAAAGCAAACAATAACAACGATAACGCACCGGTGCAAGCAAGCAGTACGTGAACGGAACTAGTAAAGTTATCGTAAGGGGCATAAACAATGCGAATAGCGAGATACCTCGTGTGCGGAGCGATTTAAATTCGGTACTGATTCTTTATATGGTTATCTACTGATCTAAGACAGGGCCACTACTAGCAAGACAAGATTGAAGTGGGTGATGTTTCGAGCTAGCGATTATTCGACGAATAGAAAAACGGAAAAGACTATTATGCCATTCACTTCAATCACCTCGCGCTGTAGAATATAATTACTATGAAAATCTAGCGTCAAACTAGAAAGATCGTACTTTTGAGCAAAATGAAAAGTTCGTAACACACAAAATAGACCAACAGAACAAGCCTAATATAACAACACAGCGATGCTGAAAAAGGATTTATTTGTCGGCAAATGTGGAGATTCACACCAACTGTAAGCGAAACGGCGGAATAGCGGGGAGCATCAAGATAACGGGACCAATATGTTAAGCTAGAGGGCCCGTGCACTTGGGCAAAGAGTACCATCAACGTACAGATGATTATATCATCGTCAACGTGGGAAGGCGTTTCGGAAGTGTCTTACTTGTGGGAATAAATAGCGCGAATCGAACGCGCCGTAATGTATTCCGCAAGCGTTGTCCGTTCGTTGTCTGATGCCTTTCTCTGCACTGAAGAATGTCGAACTCAATTACGTTGAACTTGACAATTTAAATGAGATCCACCTGCAAAAAATGACTTGGTGCGACGGCGTAGTCAACTTACACACCGGGCGTACAGATAAAACACAGAAAAAAAAGCGAATATTTTAAAAGTGGAAATAAAACACCACAATGTACTAATATAACCTGCGTCCTTCAATCTGTCATATGTAGCTCTTGCCAATTAGTTGAAGTGATCACGTGAGCTTTTGCTTCTGCATCGACTGTCTAACGACTGCCAGGTAAGGTGAACTAGCTCTTGAGTCACAGAACTTATCTATATATCGAAATATATATCTATATAACATACGTGTCGAAAACCAATTTCAGACCCTGCAGGACTTATCAGATGCTCTCACGATATCGCGCATCGTACCTCATAGAATTCGTTCTACGTCGCATTAGCTTTGATTACTGATATTAACCAATGGACAACGATGTAAACAGCGTTCATAATACACCTCATTTCACATTTCCTCGACTCTCAATAATGCAGCCTTAGTTTTGTATAACATACCGATTAACTAACGAATGAAGGCCTGTGTTAATGTCTGCATGAAGTACCTATAAATAATGCATTATACGCAGTCGGTATTATTTAAAATGGCGGCCGAGTTTAGATTGCCGAGTATCTGCTACTCCGGTCAGAAGGCGGAATCCTTAAGGCAGGACGTGTGAAGATCCGGCTTTACTGCAAATACAACCGTTGGTTTCGCTGAATCGGAAGCACAATAGAAGATTAATGTTGCACTCGGAATCAATGTCTGATTATCAAAATTTTGTTGCTTATAGCAGTTCGATGCTGGCATTCTTAATTATCAAAGGAAACGCTGTAAGTACACACACTGTATAGCTCTAACGCTATCACTGAAGTAAAGAAATGACACAAAGACGGAAATCCCACATCAGAGCTTACAACTAATAAAGCTTTTCAAAAGCGACAAAGCTTTTCACTAAAGTAACAACACTTCGGTAAGATGTAGCCATTCGAGTTGTTCCAAATATTAAAGTACGCCTATTTTTTCTTATCAGATCTATAATAAAAAAAGACCAATAGGCAATACAGGATTCGTGCAAAGCTTTCCACCGATCCTACTTGTGTTGTGCATATATTATTGAATATTTTTTTTTTTAACTATTGTACATTTTAAACTTACTTGGAAATACATCTATACTTACAGAAAGAAGATTGTGCGGAATTCAATTACCAATGCTGAGAGTAAAATAGATAATTACACTATAATTGGATTTTTATGACAATAGGAGTAAATCAGTTTTCGTATTAACATAATATCCTTTTTGTAGCAACTTCCACAGAGACTGAAGGCCGTTCTAAGTACCTATTTGGGCTGTTCCGAATGAAGTTATTGAAGTTTACGTACAGGTTAATGGTTTCCTATGCACTCAAGCCTAGTCAAATGAGTAACGATCTTCCTCACGTTTTGAAAACAACGACAGTCAATTACTCGAGTTACACAATGATACGAAGAAAAGCAATGTCTATTACATCATAGAAATTATTTTAAATTATAGACGGCTTTACAATCACTCGACGGTGAATTCAGAAACTAACTGAGCTGTCCTAAAGTCACATAATAACAGATTCAGACGGGGTATGCAGGGCAGAAAGCTAGAAATTTCCGCTAGAAAACCAGTCTCTGCAAGCATTGCGAGAGATATTCTGCTAAATGTATGCTTTGCTTTTTTAACATATTCTCTTCTGCAAAGACGATTAAACTCAAGAGTAGCTATGTGCCAGCCCCTTAGCTACGCAATTTCATATCGTCAGTGCATAACGTAGATATAGCTATACGACACGGTAATCGTCATATTTTATATTTCCTATGTATATTCTAGTTTCATTATACTAATGCCATTTTCGCTTCGTTCCTCGAATTTGAGTTCACGAAAACAATCTGTCTCGTGTACGTTCGCCCTATCGGCATGTCGATGTATTCGTTGTGGCAGTGTTGTTTCCAGTGGACAGGGGCGAATTTCTTCTGCTGGTAGGGAGTCTGCAACTATCTTCTTTCATTACTCGAGGTTCATTCCACCTTTCTCCCTCCTTGTCCCCTACACCCAACAGCCACTGACTCTCCCAAGTACTCTCGTGCCTAACATCTACTCGGTCCTTTAGTCTGTAGACGACTCGATAGATGGCGCTATCTGTGATTGCTCGCTTGAGTGTGCAGCTAGCTGTCTTTACGGAAACGTTGGATGGGGGAGCAGAGGAACGAAGGTGTTGGTGGTTGGGACTGGCCCATTGTGGGGAGTGGTGTCGAAGCGTTCTCTAAGCTCGGGGGGGGGGGGGGGTAGGACAAACCCTTTCTCGGGCCTGTAGCCCTCGCCCTTCGGTGGCGCGAGGGCAGCAGGGCCTCTCACTTGACGATGCCGCGCGGAGCCGGCAGGATGTTCGTTAGCCATTCAACGTTGCAATGCAGACGGCTAAACGGTCATCTTTTCAATGTAAACACGAGTCTCAGCCCTAAATGTCCACTTCCGTTAGAATGCTCTAGTCACAGATTTTTTAGGCGCGTTGTTACGTTGTTAAGTTTTAGGCTATTATATAATAGTTGTTGTGGAAATTTCTCTTCCGTTCTACCACTTGTAGTACCCACTACGCAAAGAGCTTGTACAGCAGGGACGAAGATAATAATTACCTGATCTGTAGCTCACACGACGCGGCGTTTCTGTGCGTAGTGTCAGGTGTGTGTGGCTGGTGGAGTGTGCTAGCGAAACTGGCGGTAAGTGACACCCATTTAAAAGGCAAAGAATCAGACAGACTGTCTGCGACGCTTGTCGTGCATATGATGTCTTATAGACGCTAAACATTTCAAGTGGCTCATTCCCATTGGCTGTAGTCGGTTCTAAGTTGTTGCTCGTTGTTTTCTTGCGTGCTCTGCGGTCTACGCTTGACCAGATGCTGTCTGAACGTGGTTTTCGAGTACAGTTCGAATATCCAGCAGCACGGTTCGTTAGAGCCCCTCTTGTTTGTACTATTGCATCATCGTTCGCTTCCACCTTGCCTAATGGATTGAACTCCAAGCGGTGTCGTTGTTATTCACCAATGGTGATTCTACCGCACCGCCCCGACGCGATTAGTGACTCCTAATTTTACACTTAATGGCCGCTCAAGCGTACTAACCTAGATAGGGTAAGCCTATCAAGTTGCAGATACGTTGGTAGATGATAAGTCCTGGCAGTGTTGCAGTGATGGCCAACCACACCAAGCCAGCTAAGCTGGATGTCTTTGTCTACTAATGATACTGCAGTTCGTTCGATGTTCAGAGATGAAGTGATAGCAAGACCAGCTGCAGGAAGCAAGCACAGCGGCACACGGATACTTAATGTTATCAATGTGGCTCTGACGGAAGGGGAGAAAACGGTACGCCTCGCCCGCTAGGCAGGAGCGTAGAATGTAATGGACGCACAGAAGTAGGCTAGTAATAGTAGTTGTCGCGGACACGGCTTAACAAGAGGAAAACGCTTCTTGTCCTGCTTCTCCCGCCGGTCACTTCTACCGTCAGTAGTAGTTATACTAGCTCTTACTGTTGGGACCTTTAATGGCTGCAGAAGGGGAGAAGGGGTCATTTCCTCATCTACCACTTCTAAATCTACCCCACCTAGCCAACGGCATTTCCCGCCGCTTGGTCAAAGCCCGATCTCGCTTGCCGATACCGGCGTTAACCGTTAAGATGAAAGGTGTACGAACCGAAAGAGATCACAATCGATGTTATGCCCCGATATGCTGGGGATGCAAGCAGCTCGCCACTGCGTTAGCATTGGACAGCTCTCATGGTCGTTTACCCAAAGTTGGTCCCCCTGTTACGAACTCGGTGGTGGATGCCGCGCCTCGACATTGTCGGGAGGTGGATAAGGTGTTTGCCTAAGTATGGGGCGATTTGAGAAAAGAAAAGGATAGGGTTTCGACAGCTAGGAATTTTTCCGGCGGATGCTCGCTAGTTCGAGTAACGAGCCAGGCCATGACGATCATATGGAGTGGCGTTCACATTGATGTATATCAATATATTTGCACACACCGAGGGGACACGGACATACGTCCCAGTGTTACAGATTGTAGATAACTGCCCACGCTCTTGCCATCTTTCGGCTTATAAATATCTTTTCCTTTCTCTCTATTTATTATTAATAAATGCTAATGAATATAAACGAGCATAGCTACGCGGCGTTTGCAAGAGTTGTGGCTATCACATACAGACAAATATCAACGTGTCTACTATTTGTATATTTGCAAGCGATATCTAGAACCTTCACAACTGATGTATAAATGCACCGTACTCATCCAAACCGATCTTGCTCAATACGTGTTTGACTATTACGCCATGTATGAGTACGATTTACCCGCTAGTCCTATGTACCTCGGCTACCACCCAATGAATGCTGTTTCTAAATTTGCATGGAACGTTGCTGGCCAGCTTACCTCTCATCGCAGCCTGGACTGTACGACGGATTCTTCCTGGAAACGCCCCTTTTACATATGCAAAACTAGCTCGCCGGCTTTCATCAGGTAGATACCTTTCTAGAGAGCCTTTCACATGGCCATTTCCGTGGATGCAAGCTCGTATATGTTTGGTTACAACAGTCTCATCACAGATCAGCTGAAACGTGGTGCGCTAATAGTAAATCGAGCTATTAAAGCACGTTGAGATAAAATCGATTGGATTGGGAACAAAGGTCAGCGCGTTGACTTGCTCAATCAGTTTGTGGATGTTCTATAAAACTGGTCATCACAACCTCCTTGAGTGAGTGGATTTGCGACCTGGTTGACAACTGCTTCTCCTAAATTACTCATGGTCGTGAATTGGTAAGTACACGCATTTGGCTGAAATAGATAAACAATGCTGCCATTAGGTTAAATGGTGTCGTGAATTATTTTCTAGTACGACTGAATATTGCGTGCTACAACATGGCTGACCTGTCTCCAAGCTTGATTATTATTTTCGCACTGGGCGTGTGAACTTCCACGGGGCTTATACAGAACTAGCTGATATTGGTCAGGCAGTAAAAAAAAACAGTTCTCTTACTTTTTGTTATATTAGCCTTTATGTACAATATTAGTGGAGAGCAGGAATGTAGGACGCATGACAAACAATTGCAGTATCATTTACTTATTAATGGTAGAAAG